GGTGTTGTGCACGAACAATGAATCATGGAACACTTCATCTAGAACTAATGATGTAATGTATGGGGATTAACATAAGAATAAAAAAAATTAATAAATAAATAGAAAAAAAACAAAAAACAAACAAACAAACAAACAAAATGTTGTTACCACCAGAATAAAAACAAAAAAAGACTGAAACTTAAAGTCAACAAATAACACAACTAATTTCCAGGATAGGTTAGACCACCTCCCAACTCAGCCCACTCAGCGCTCATGTGGGAGCCACGCATCACTACTACCTCCCACACCGCTCAAAGCCAACGCAGCGTTCTCAACATGGAGTGGGTGTTGTGGGGGCAACGCTTCCAGTGACTTCCTTATGATACGCCTTCAAGTGAAAACTTCGACTATTAGTAAGGAAACCGAAAAGGCGACTACACTAGGAAAATCTCTCTTGGGGCACTTGGGTGGCACGGTTGATTAAGCAGTTAAGGGTCGAGCTCTTGCCTGCAGCTCAGGTCAGGATCTCAGGGTCGTGGGATCGAGTTCCATGTCGGGCTCCGCGCTCCGCGTGGAGTCTGCTTGTCCCTCTCCCTCTGTTCCTCCCCTCACACACTCTCTCTCTCAAATACATGAATACATAAAATTTAAAAAAAAAATCACTTACTGTCAAATGAATTAAGTAGGAAAATGTAATAGCTCAAGCATTAACTGATTTTTAAAAATCATGTTTGAATACCCAACAGTAAACCTGGAAACCACAATCAGGTCCTGGTTATCAGAGTTCCTGGTAACTCTTCTAGCTCAACAAGTTTGAGTAACTTTGAGAGACTTCTTCTCTGAGACCTAGAGATGCTTTACTATGTTAATAATTGTTCCCTGAGACAATTCCCTAGGATCTATGATGAATTTGAAAATAACATCTCATTATCTCAAATATCTCAAAAAGAGAGATGTTAAAGGGCACGTGCTTGCTAATGTTACCCAAACACACTGAGCAGATCATCAGCCCAGGATGACAGCCTCACTCAATATCATTTTAAACTGCAAAATGAAATAGGAAGAAATGAACCAAGGAGTATCTCCTACAAGAATGGCTTCAGAGGCACCTTCCAGGAGCCATGCTGAGAGAGACCCTCAAAGAGTTCCTGTGTGGTACAAGGAGGAGGGCGACCGTGGGCCACAGAGGCTAAAGAAATTTCACAAAGACTTCCCAAAGAATAAATTTAAATGGCACAGCCATTGCCTAATGGAAGCAACTGCAACAGTGAGCAAAGAGGCAGTAGAAATGTGATGTTTCATCGTGAGCAAAAGCCTTAGGAGGCTTAGTACTTACTGAACAACTACCACTGAGTTAGTTACTTTTTGGAAATGGTCTACTGACTCTGAATCACCTGGCCCTTTTTTACTTTATGAGTCTTCCACAGAAAGGTATCTAAATGTTTGTTGTACTGAGCAGAGGTAATGGTATGCCTTTTGTGCATTTAAAAATCACAGAAATTCAGAATCTGATGAAGTTAATGGTCATCTGTTCAAGTCTTCTATTCTTCTCATTCAACCTGAACATCATGAAAGTCAACAACTGCTAAAGAACTTAATTACATTCATAAGGATTTTATTCTCAGTAGTGACCAACATAATTCAGTAATTTTTTCACCTTAACAAATATATGGCAAAAATAAAAAGTTCTGTTTCTGCTCACTTCATTTTAGTTGTAGGTAAAGGGAAATAACTGATATAAATTCCTGTTGAATGTACTCAGTTCTAGGATGAAACCAACTCTTGCAGTGATTATTAACATGTGTGATGAGGTGAAGAGCATACACTCCCATCATGTTAAAGGGCTTGCAAGTTACTTTACATTAAGTGTTTCCAGTCTCCCTTTGTTAGTGCTTCACATTTTTACGGGTCTTTCACTTACATCATTTAAGCACATCTACATAAAAATGAATTTCCTTTGACAGACAAATTAAGCCTTAGACACACTATGAAATTCAAATACCCAAATACTTAGCCCATACTAGATGATGGATATTTTCAAATTCTGATATCGGGCCCTCTGTGCGTGTGTGTTTCATTAGGGCAATGGAGATGCAAAGCTAACCCTCTAGACTACTAGTGTATTGATATAATCTGAATTAGACATAATTATGCTAACCAGCTCCTTTTATTTCAAACTTCTTTTAATACAAATTTGAATCAGACCATCTCTTAAATAAGGAAGATGACTTATTTTCTGGATATCAAACAAGGACATGTTATCTGATTATGAATGAATATACAGTTTCAGAGGGCAGAAAATTTAAGATGTATGGGTCCATTAGCCTAGGTTGTAGATGTCCAGTCTATACTAATCTAAACTAATCACTTTGGGTTCAAAATAGCTGGATATCTTCCTAGATTTTACACGTTTTTGAGGTGTTTAGACCCTACAGCCAATATAAGCAGGCATAGGCATGTTAATTGCAAGTCATCCAGGGATGCCTGGGTGGCTCCGTTGGTTAAACGTCTGCCTTCAGCTCAGGTCATGATCTCAGGGTCCTGGGATCGAGTCCCACATCGGGCTCCTTGCTCAGCCAGGAGCCTGCTTCTCCCTCTGCCATTCCCCCTGCTTATGTGCATTCTTTCTTTCTTTCTCTCTCTCTCAGACAAATAAATAAAATCTTTAAAAAAAAAAAAAGGCATCCATTGCTTTCTTGACTAATGTAAACTAAAGTCGATTTTAATAGTAGCTGAGAAAGCACCTTTAGTAAGATACAAACATTTTTATATATAAAAGTCACCTTTCTGTAGAGGTCCAAAATGCAATCGGTGGGTTATGCTGTAATAATAACAGTAGTTTTAAGCCTAAAGCTAGACCTGAGGAGAATAAAAATTGAACTGAGAAGTTTTTCAGGAAAACACTCCATTTGCATGTACATGAGGGTCATATTCATTTCTTATTTTAAATGTAGACTTTTTTTTTCCCTTTGCCCACTTTCTTTTTTTTTTTTAAGATTTTATTTATTTATTTGAAAGAGAGAATGAGATAGAGAGCATGAGAGGGGCGAGGGTCAGAGAGAGAGGCAGACTCCCTGCTGAGCAGGGAGCCCGATGCGGGACTCGATCCCGGGACTCCAGGATCATGACCTGAGCCGAAGGCAGTCGCTTAACCGACTGAGCCACCCAGGCGCCCCCCCTTGCCCACTTTCTAATTCAGAAGGTTTCCCTAAAGTTTTAAAATTAAAAAAATACATTTTTAGCATATTAATCAATATTTGTTTCTTTATATTGTAATATATCCAATTTACCTAACAAAAATCTACTAAACCCACCTCTTCAGGCTCAATCAGTTTAAATTCCATGCCTCGCCCAGTCCACGCAATGAAATGAGAATTAGAAGGGTCATCCAGAAGAGCTACCAAAAACTGCCAGAGCTGAAGTGATCCCCGCCGCTGGTATGTGGGTCCTTCCCGATACATTCCTGGCTCCTGTTTGATGTCTCCTAAATTAAAAAATGTTAAAGTTTCTATTATTAGCAATATTACGACATTTACATAAAATTTACATTAAACCAATCATGAAAATGTTTCAGCCACAACCACTTTACAGGTTTCTATGAAATATAACGTTACCACTTTAAATAGGGCTTTAAAACAGTTAAAGGATTTAATGTAAACCAAGAACCTGTACAAACTTACAGACAACTATATATAACATATAAGGGTCAAAATAAATGCAAACAGGTGTAGAATAAATCCACGAATGTCATTTGCTTATTAAAATTTTGTATAACTATCTTTCTATTTTCACTCATTTATTTAAAAACCATACCATCCAATCACACTTCTTGCTTTTATTGTTAATGACATTATTCACTACTCTAAGCAACATGGAAGAGGGAGTAATTGATTTTAAGCTCTGGACATTTTATTTGTACAAATTCTGCAAACTATACTTTGTAATACCTCATTGACCGGTACATGAAAAAATTTGCAAATTTTAATGCAAATATTTCAAAGCAAATTTACTTTTATTTATTTATTTTTACAGATTTATTTATTTATTTGTGAGAGAGAGAACAGGGGGAGAGGCAGAGGGAAAGGGAGAGAATCCCACGCAGACTCGCGCTGAACCCCATGTGGGACTCGATCCCATGACCCTGAGCTCATGACCTGATCCAAAATCAAGAGTTGGACGCTCAACCAACGGGGCCACCCAGGCATCCCATCTCACAGGAAATTTAATTCTTAAATTCTGAGTTAAGTAATCTGTACTTTATGTAAATTAGGAAAATCACACAGGTAAACCAGGGCATATCGGATTATCATCAGACCATCTTTTTCCCACACCTCCATACTGGCACCACCACTTTCTTAACTGGCAGCAAATAAAAATTCATTTTTCTTTATCTCTTGTTTGCATTTCAGTCACATGAATTTAGCTTGCTAGTCTTTTTCTAAAAGTGCAATCTAAAAACACATATACAGGGGCGCCTGGGTGGCTCAGTCGTTAAGCGTCTGCCTTCGGCTCAGGTCATGATCCCAGGGTCCTGGGATCGAGCCCCACATTGGGCTCCCTGCTCCACGGGAAGCCTGCTTCTCCCTCTCCCACTCCCC